TATCATAGGAGGTCCTCTCCCCCTTCAGAGATTTGATAAATATTCATTTACATTTTCATCCACCATCCATCACTTTAAAGATATTTGGCTTGTCAAGCATTGCCCCACTAGCTTTTCCCTCCTACTATCTTACAAATATATTTTGACAAAAGAATTAAGCCCAGCTTAATTAAAAGGATTCCAGCATAGAATTTTCTGGGTGGTCCTTTAATCCCAAATGTTGGCAGTTGCATTCTGAATCTTCATGGGGACTCTAGGACGTGAGTGATGAGCAGCAGGAGGGGCGTGGTCTGCGCAAACCCTCCTTCTAAGCCTTCTTTCTGGAGGAGAAATGGTTTTATCTATTCTCCAGTTTTGTTGTATGTCCTTGGGTTGTTTTAAGGGAATCGGTTCATCGTGGTTAGCTCAGCCTCAGCTATACATCAGTGCAGCAGGGACCAGAAACTTGAAAACTTGAGAACGTCGCATTATCTTTTATGACCTCAAAAGATTCCTGCCCTGGAGTTGCGGACTTTTCTGCTGCTTCTGGATAAGCGCCTGCATTGCTGATGTGCTGGCAGGTGGCTCTGTGCCTTTGGGGAGTGGGGTGGGGTGCTTCTTCTTAAGAACTATTTCCATTAAGAAAACCGCTCTCTTCCTTCTCCAGCAAGGACAGGAGCGCCCGCTGCGACCACCACTCTGTCTGTCTTCGTTAGAGGCCGGGGACTTCTCGGCAATGGTGTAAATGACGGTGGTGCAGGGCAGTGGCCGCTTCAAGGTTTGAAGTGCAGTTAGTGAAGCTGAGGCCGAGAGTCCAGGACTGCAGACTGAAGCTTTTTAGGATACCTAGTTTGAGGAAGTCTAGGATTCGCTTCTCTTTATGATCTTGCTTCTCTCACAAAAACCTTAGAGATGTCTTTTTCCTCCTTGGTGAACCTCCGGGGGGGAGGCACGGCCAGTGCGCCTCACCACCAATGGCCACAAGGGGGAGCCCCGCGCGCTTCTTCCTTCAACTCGCGCTCTAGGGCGAACCTCCTTTAGTCCTCCTGGGGGAGCCCGAGAAGCGCTCGCAGATGAGGGGCCCTCCCATCCAGGCTTCTCACGTTCAGCGGGTGAAAGTAGTGTCCCCTCGTCATACCAAACAGCTCCTCCCTCTTCATTTGCGTGCTTATTCCTTATCCCTTGTGCCATCCAAAAGCAACGGAAGGCTCTGTAGTTATTTTTCAGTGAACTAGAGAAGAGAAAATTTTAAAAATAGATTTTTGTAATACTCCAGGAAATCAAATAGCTTTTCCCTAAATATCTCAATTCTTAAGCCTGCATTGAACATGTATTAATACTTTTAGGAAACCCGAGGGCTGGAAGCTAGAGCCTCAGTTCCCTCCCCTGGCTGTGTGTGGCCTCGTGGGGGATGTCTGGGGCCTTGGAAGAAAAGCATCTTCTAAGCAGGCTCTTTTGCCTTGGTGGATGATACCAAGAACAGTAGTTCTGAAAGTGAGGGATTCCATTGTGAGAGAAGCTATTCAACCTTAAGAATGGCCAATATCATGATATGTGGCAGGTGGGTGACAGAAAGAACTCAAAAGAGAGTTTTTAAAAAAGACGTTGGATATTGACATAACCACTGCTAAGTGGGTCGAGGTACAAGGGCAGCTTCCTATTCCATTCCTGATGATAAAACACTTAGGAAAGTTAAGACATTGGCAATTAAGACTGTCAGTTTATTTTACCTCTGACTATCCTAAAACCTGTCAGAGGAGCTAACTGGCTGTAAGCAAGGGACTCAGTTTAAACTGAGAACACAGAAGAACTATTTTAGTAAAGTTGACCAATGGAATAAAACAGGAAGGAGAGACTTTTGATAATCTCTTTCACCCTGGTTATGTTGGCGTGTCACCTCCGTCAGTTCGGTGCTCTGGCAGAGCCCCTGATTGAGAAAGAGTGAGGAGGAATAGGACTGAGGAGGGAGTTCTCCCCGGGAAGCTCAGCTGGGCCAGTGCTGGGCTGTAGCAGAGTTCAGAGTTTGTTGGTTCTAAGCTTTTTGCTGACACTTAAATTTAAAGAACAAGCACAGAATTCACAAGAGACTTGGGAAAGCTTCTGTGATTCGAGCCCTCATACATATGAATTTGAAGTTGAGTGACACAAGGGTTGACGCTGGTCTGGGAATTAGGAGAGTGGTGTTTTGTCTTAGCTCTGGCACTAACCGGAGAGCCCCTCTACCTCCCTGGGACTGCGCGTCCTCCTCTGTAAGTGAGAGACAAGAATCTGCTCACCAGCATGTTTTTCTCTCCGCTTCAGCTGCCAGGAAACTCAAGTCAAATTCAAAGCTTTATTTAAGGAACTCTGCAGGAGCCTTGGCTTGATAGCTTGATGCCATTTTCTTTCCTTGTTTTGACCTTGTGTTCTAACTTTTATTTTTCCCTGAGCTTAGCATTGTATTATTTTTCATATTTCATATTTTATTGTACACATTTTTGTACATAAATAAATGGTAAAATGGGAGGGGAGTCACATTAGAGGAGTTCCAGTGGCCCTTCCAGTACCAATGGTCTGTGATTCTAAGGGGAAGAGTCATTTCACATGTCTGGAGGGTACCAGGTTTGCATAGAAAGGAGTTCTCCTACGGAGGGTCCTAAAGACTTGAATAAAGCTCTAAGGAGGCCTGGCCAGGATGTTCTCCTACGTCACTGGGAGGTGTCTGTGAAGGAGCCAGCACTCTGTGCTGGTTTACAGGAAGACAGCTTTTCTATTGGGATTTTTAGACTTCGCTGCGAGAAATCTGGGGGCGAAATGTCTGTCTGAAGCAGGGCTCAAGAATCTTCAGCTGTATCAAGAACTCCAAGGAATTTTGATGTCACACTTGGATTTAAGAAAGTCCAAGGGAATGTGAATATGTATTTCAGGGGTGGAGGAGAGGCCGGCAGAAGATAAGTGATGCCTCACCCATTTCAACCATATGCTCATCTTGGCTTTTTATTGTACCATACTTTGATAGGGCTTCAAGTACTCTTAGTGTTTATGTAAAAATTGATCTTATCTATAATAGCATATATATTTAAAGGCAAACTCTTACTTTGAGTAAACAGAAAGCTTTACAAATATTTACCAAATAAACATCAATTACTAAGCAGTTATTCATTTTCATAATATCACTTTACCAAAGGACCCATCAAGGGTTCCATTAAATGTCCATATATGATTTGTTTTGACAAGGACTTTCCCAGGGGCACCTCTGATCTGTAAAGCAGGAGTCACACAGATGTTCAGAGCCCATAAGTTTAGATTTAGTTCTGATTTGTGCCAGGAAGGCCAATGATAAGCTGAAGGTATGTGTTTCAAAGCCAGGGATAAAAGTTTGGATAATTATTATCTGTTCCTGAACATAAAGAAGGTTTGGGGCTTTCTGGAATCCATAAAAACTGAACAGTTTGTGCATTACCCCTGTAAGTCAGGTCTTATTTATACATGACTGAAAATAGCCTTTGTTTTGAGTTTTCATTGGCCAGATTCTGCTGTTTTAGTACCAACCTGTTAGTTTGAACAAAGTGACATCAGCTAACATTTTTTCAGACTTCCAGGGCACTAGTGAGAGGACTCCTCCATGCCATACTGGGAGATAATGGAGACTTAGACTTTAGGGCACCAAGATTTGCTTTCTCCTGTGAGAAGGGTGGCGGTGGGGGATCCCATTGATCTTTTCTGTCAAGGATGGTTTGCTTTCTGTGGATGTAACCTTCGGGGGTCTCTGTGCTCTCTCCTCACAAGAGCTAACATTTATTCATGCTGATTACGTCACTCTCACCATAACCTCTGAGGTGGGCACTAATGCTACCACCATCTTACAGAGGAGAAAATTGAGGCTTAGAGAAGGAGGTAGGTAAGTTGCCCTGATTCCATGTTGAATCAGAGGTAGAGCCCAGCATAGGACCAGGACTGCCGGCTCTGGAGTTCACCTTCTTAACTACAACCCTAGACCACATCATAAAGTCAATAGGCTGGTCTGGAGTATGAAGAATCAGGCCTGAGCGATAGAGATAGGAATCTAGAAATCAAGATAAAGGACATGGGAATCTAGATCTATAGCTATAGGGAAGTATTCAGTTGATTAGGAGTTATATGGGTCACAGAGGGTCGTTTGCTTGATCTAACGAGGTAATTGGCTCCATCCTTTTCTCTTTGGGAAGACCTGACCTGACAATAACCCCTGCTAAGCACTTTTGCTTTTTACATTTTCAAGTACTTTTTAATTTTTACTATCTTTGGCTATCTGTCTGTTAAGAGTTGTCTGTTTTCTTTACAGTCCATCTATCTGGGTTGATTTGTCCCATTTGGGAACGAGAAATTTTACTGTAAAAAGTTGCCAGTGTTGAGTGGCCAACAAGGTGAAGTTCAAAGAGTTCAAATGAGAAAAGAAAATATGATGGAAAGACAGTGTTGGGATTTGAGGGAGCCCATTAAATAGCACTGCTCTTTCCTGCCTTAACTTTGAATTGATTGAGAAATAAGGCAAAAGAGGAAGACGTAGGGAGACTACGGTATCCCCTTTATTACAGATAAAGTGGGTTCTGGAGAATGGGGACCACAGCTGCAAAAGTGGGGTTCCTGAGGTGGCACCCCCCCGCCTCCCAGTAATGGGCAGCACTGGCCTGAGGCAGGGGCCCCTCTCCAGGGGCTGAGTTGTCCATGGAAAGCTTGGCACGCGGAGGAGCCCGTCCTAGGCTGAGAGGGAGGGGCCGGGCTCCCTCTGCCTGGGCTGTCCTTCCAAATTCTCTGATCAGATGAGCCAGCCAGCCCTCCAGTGCTGAAAGCAGGGAGGGGCTGAGTGAGGCCGGGAGTGTGACCCTGAAGGAGGAGGAAGAAACCTCAGGAAAAGGGAAGAAGCCTTCACCTAGCAAATCAGAAGAATCGAAGCCTTATTTCTCCCTCTTTGGGAATTAACTTGATATTTATATTTAGTGTCTATAAATATGTCAGCAGGTAGGGAAATTAACTTGCTTTTGTTCTGTTTAAACTTTTAGATTCTTGGCTATCAGAACACCATCTTCTTTGGTGGAGACTGTATATCCATGATTGATTACCTCTTTTGGCCCTGGTTTGAGCGGCTGGATGTATACGGAATAGCCGAGTAAGACATTCATGGTCATGAATCCCTGGGGTCACTCTGGGTGACAGTGGTTGAAATGGGCTGGTTTGTTTCACAATGAATGTGAAACAAAATCAGGTTTTAAACTATGTGTTTCCTTGTTCAAAATGCATTGTGCTCTTCTACCAGTAACTGCCTACCCAAACTTTGCCCATATTTCTGCTGCTAAGACCCTGTGTCCAAAAGCCCCCCACAGTGCTTCAGAGCCACTGACCTCACCAGCCCACCCAATGCAGGCCGGTGGTGAAGGCACAGGGTTTTGGTGACTTGTCTCCATCTCCCTCAGTGGCCCTCCACCTGGTCCTGCTGAGTCATCCAGTGGACATCGTACATCTTACTCACATCTTAGTTCCCTGAGGAATCTTCCCCCGATAGGAATACCGTTAATAAAATAAATGATTTTAAAAGTAATATATGCTTGATGTTAAAACAACCAAGCAAAATGGCAGCCATACACCACGGAAGTATAGGGATGTTTAAAGTAGAAGAAATTGCCCAGTGGACTCAGGGAGACTGTATAGGGTCCCTGGACAGACAGAACACGCGCTTTATCTCCACAATGCTCAGAGAAGTTGAATTTGTCCCGACACCTGCTTTGACCCCAGCCAGTCGCGTGGTGGGTGCCGGACAGCTGTGGCATTTGGCAATCCAGTCCCGCCGAGGCAGAACTGGGACTGGAGCCCCATAATGCACAGGCTTGAGTCTACCCAGAAGTCTCCTCCTGCACTTCCCACCGCAGCTGTCTCTGAGGGACGATCACATATATAACACATTTGGTTATTTTAAACTCTGTCTCAACATAAATGTTACAAAAACCTGTCTCCTCCGGGGACAGAGTATTGAACCACAGGTTAGGAACCCTCACCTCTACTCCTGGATTTTCCCCTGACCAGTTGAGTGAGTCACTTTACATATCCTAGACCTAAACTTCCTGATGGCCTGGTCAGCTCCGTTACTTCAAAGTTTGATGCTTGTTTTATTCATTTTTCAAAAGAGTTTTTGGAAACTACTTGTCTTTATTTTTTTCAAACCCCCTAAAGTCAAATCTGAGGATGACACAAGAGTGTTTCTTTCAGAGGGTTGTCTTTTTGTTGGTAACCAGTGAAGCATAGATACCTTATTTCCCCAGAGCAATCCATCCACAAGTATTCTAACTGTATTATTAAAAGCAACAACAACTTCTCTAATTCAAAAGCTACATAGCTATTCCAGAAATAAGGTTTTCATCCAGTAAATGCTCATGCTCAGTTGATAATGAGACAACTATGATAACCTTTGTTGACCAAATAAACCCTTTTTTCGTACCTTGTAAATCTAAATAGCGGTACGTGTGACCTTTCCCAATGCCTTCCGCTTCAGATGAGCTAACCCTTCTCTCCTGTCCTGCAGCTGTGTGAACCACACCCCAGCACTTCGTCTCTGGATCGCAGCCATGAAGCAGGACCCCGCAGTGTGTGCCCTTCTCATAGATAAAAACATTTTCCTGGGCTTCTTGAATCTCTATTTTCAGAACAACCCTGATGCCTTTGACTATGGGCTAAGTTGCTGAGTCTCACAGTCCTCCCCTTCACCATCCAGAATTCCCAAGCTCGTCATGATTCTGAATCAGGAATTGTTTTGATGGGTCAATAAATCTCTGTTCATTTTCTTTGATGTTTCCAATAAACATGGAGACAGAAAACATATTCTTTCTGATAATGACGTGTATGAGTCTTCTAGCCCATAACTTCTAATGATTCTCTAGAAATCTCTAGTGCCCAGTGCTAATGTCCAGGCACGTTTTGGGATCCTGTGGGCATCCCAGCTCCTTGGCCTTTAGCTCAGTTTGACCTCCAGATTGTTGGTGCTGATGCTGATGTTGAGGTCCAGGCCTACCCATCCCTGATGTTTGTCACTACAGACTGGCACTCTCCACAACCCCCCAGGTGAGAGGAAAGCTAGAGAAGAGAAGGAAGAAGAAAACACTCCACATCAAAATACCCTCCATTTGGCAAACAAAAGCTGCAGTCCACGTGGGCGTGCGTGAGTATCATTCTCGTTCAAACTTTGGCTGTGGGCCTGGGAGACACCGAGGGTCTTATGACTGAAAGAATTCCAAAGCAGGAAATGAAACACCCGTTATCACCCTGGACTAACTACGTCAGAATTTCACCGGTGCTGTCAGGGCTCAGGATGGCTCACAGAATGTTCTCCAGCCGACATCCTGCCTTAATAAAATACGCCCGCTCCAAACCCTGTCTCAGGCAAAGGTCACTCTGTTGGATTTGCGTCACACACTCTTTCAGTTCGTCCCAACAGATGCCTCTGTTTGCCCGTGTGTACCAAGCCCTGGGCCATGTAGGGGATAAAGATGACAAAGACACAGGAGCCCCTGATCTCTCCACTTGTCTTGGTTGCGGTTTTACACTTAGTGCTTTGGAGCAGCTTGTCTTGCAGCGGAAATGCTTCTCTCGGCCCGATGTGGCACCTCCGCTGGCTGGGCCTGGCAGTGCCCGCCACTGAAGACGACAAAGAGCCCAGAAGGACGGCCAGGTGTGCCGGCAGGTGACTTAGGAGTGGGACGGGCCTGTCCAATGCCTTTTTGTCTCAGAGTCTAGGGATCAGCCTGTGATCATTTCAGCTTGGTGCATGCCAAATCTTTTCCCAGCCTCCAGCCATGCTGAGAGACCAGGGACCGCAGGAGTGATGTTTTGACTTGTCCGTTCCTGGGAGGAGCTGTCTGCTGCCCCTGCCTCTGACTCAGCCCAAACCAGCCTTGTTTCTCCCCACGTCTCAGCCTGCCTGGCCATCTGCTGCCTCTGGCTGGATTTTGACTCATGTAAATAGTTACCAGTGTGACTCCGTGCCAGCTGGACAGAAGCAAGCTTGCTTGGTGAGGTGGCCTGCTCTGCCAGAACAGGCACCTTGTGACAGGGGCAGTCTGCTGTGCCGTCTGCTCAGGATACGGCACCCTGTTGCCGTGGCGCCTGGGCCAATGCAGAGTGAAGTCACATTTCCCTGGGAACTTTGCTTGGCCCTTGTGGCCTCTCCTAGGACTTGGGGACTTATCAGTTTTTGCAGGTGTAAATCCTGTGTGCTGGTGAGTGTTTGGCATGTTGACAAAGTTGTTGTTGACACAATAGATAATGGCATGTTTCCAGATGGCCAAAACCAAAGATGTTCTCTTTGGGGGCTCCCCATGCTAACTTAGACAGCTTGAAGAACCAGGAAATAAAGGATGGAGAAAAGTGCTCATGGAGAAACGTTGCAGGCTGGCGGCCCAGAGCCCAGTTTAGGATTTGAATGCCTTTCAGCCGGGCATGCTCTCTGCAGTTTGCCAGGGCCACCTGCACTGCCTTCCACGTCTTTCTTCTCGCTCCTTTATGTCACCTGTCTGACCCGCAGAGGAATCTGAGTTGTCAGTCTCTGGATGATACTAGAAGGCTTTAGCCTGGAAAAAAGAGGCAATTAAATAATGCTCCATGAGGAGCTTTCAAAGTACTGCTTCTTTTATTGGGGGGTGGGGTGCAGAAATAATACATCAGGGTTAAAAAAAATACAACAATGAAAAAAAATAAGAAGTCTCCCATCATCTCATGTCCCAGAGATAACCACTTTTACCAGTTTGTGTCTATCTTATAAAAGCACATTAAACTAAGCATTTAAGAAGAAAGCTGTCCTCTATAGCCTGCAGATTGGAAAAAGAGAAAATTAGTTCAAACTACAGCATTTAAAAGAGCCTCATTGTCATAGAGGATGTTAACATCAGAGTCAACGAGCAGAGGAGCTCATGTGGAGCTCCCTTGCTCAGAGGTTCTGAACTGGAGCCCGTCTGGACTGAGTCCAGTTCCATCCTGACAGGGCAGCAGGGGTGGGGCGGGGGTGGCCGGGACAGCTGGCAGTGCTGGTGGTGGTGGGGAGATGGCGACTAAATGTTACTTGAAATTCCTTCTAGCTCTAAATTGCTCTGATCTCAGACGACAGAGTGGCTGTAAGTGTTAGAGTGGATTAAATCTAAATTCTAAGTTACGAGCTGGAGCGTTCCCTTCAGCACTGCAGGGACAGCCTGCCCGTGCCTCCACGTTGTCTTTGGAGCTTTGATGACAGTCGGAGCTGGGATATCTCTCTCTTGATCTCTCACCTTTGTGTCCCACCTGGTCCGTGGTTCCTTTGTCAAAGTCAGTGGCCTTGATGGAGGGGAAACTGTGCTGCTCTGGGTTGAGAACCAAGCTGGACTCCTCATGGTTTAGGTCACCCTGGTTATGTTTGTTAAAGTGTTCACAAATAACCAACTACCCAGCCCAACAGGGTTCTCATCAATCAGCCTCTAGCCTCCCCCGCCACCCCCCCAACACTGAACAGTGTGCCCTCCCAGGAGACCCATTTCCCATTCATCTTCATTTGTGAGTCCCTGGAAGACTGGACATTTGTTCTTCTCAAACATTTTGCTCATATCTGGCTCGTCAGAGCTCTTGGCCCTTTGCAAATGCTGCCTCCTCCACTCTCTAATCTTCCTCAGAGCAGCCCCCTCGTTTTTTTCAACTAACTTTTTCTCTTGCAAAGTTTAGATCAAAATTCTTTGTGCCAAAAGGTGGTGTGCCATAGTGGTTAAGAACAGGGCTGTGTGGTCAGATGCCTTGGGTTCAAATCCTAGCTCTGCCACCATTAAATTCTGTGGGTAAGTTAGTTAACCTCTCCGAGCCTCAGTTTCTTATCTGTAAAATGGGCTCATTAAATACCTATTTCATAGGGCTGTTGAAGAATGATGGGATCATCCATGTAAGGGCTTAGCACCTGTTGAGGAAATGCTCAGTGAATGGCAGGCAACCCTATGATCATGACAAGTCTTCTGCGAATCATCAGACTTGAACTCTGTGTTCATTCTCCCATCACTTTGTGAAACAAGATGTCCTACATTGCACATGGCTTGATTCATGGTTTGGAGTTGTTTTCTGATTGTTTCATGTGTCTGGGTTTAGTGTCAAATGACTCGTGAGCCCTTGGCAGCTGGGACATTTATTCCTACCCCTTCCCCACTCCTCTCACCCCAAGTCTAGTTTAAAACGGTGAATCCTGAAATCTTGGCACGTTGTTGATGATGGTAAAATAAATACCCTCTCCCATGTTATGGAGGAGCACTCAGAATCTCCCTTCTCTGCCCTCTTGGAGCGCATTCTCTCTCTCCAATGGTTAAAGTGTGAAGGATTTCAAATGGCCGCAGGTCTGTCCAGTTGCCAGGCAGCTTGGATGCTGCCTGGAACACAAAAGCGCCCTGGGACTGTTCCGCTCATGGAAAGACAATTACAGATGTGCTCCAGACAGGAACTGTGGGATAATCTATGCCCTGTTATTTCCTCCCAAGGATCCACCACGATCAAGAATCTCCTCGCAGGCAGCAAGGGTTCCCAGCCCACTTTGTGAGTAGCAGACAGCCTCCCTCCGGATGGCATGGTTGAAGAGCAGCAGTCAGCTTCCTGGCTAGGAGCAAGCAGGAAAGAGCCACATGCAGGCCTGTCTGGTGGGGGAGGACGAAGCAACTGAGGCAGACTCTGATCGTGCTGCCTGCCCAGGGGAGCCTGAGCAGGGGCAACCCTTCTCCCCGCATCACAGGACTGGGGGGCTGGGAAGCGAGAAGGATGGACATCTGTTAGCAGGAGCCACCTTTGCTAAATCTGGATTGGTTTATGCTTCCAAAGCCGTGGAATGTTCGGGTTATGCTCAGGGGGCTAGAAAATCTCTCAAAGGATGTGTGTGTGTGTGGGTGGGTGTTTGCATGTTTCTGTGCATTTCTGCTGTAGGAGGAAGGCACCAGAATGAATAATGAGGAACCATATAAATGATAAGGGCAGGAGGTATTTTTAAAACTCCATCCTAAAATAAGTGGTCATAGGCCATTCATTTGCTAAAGAGAAAGGCCCTCATTGGGGACTTTATCTGGGACACTGTCCTGATAATCTGATGGCAGCAGGGGGTGGGGTGGGGGACATTCAGACGTCCTAGGTACGGTGATGGCAGGGGCTGCTTAACCTGAAAGCCAGGGGAAGCATTAGCTGGGGCTCCGCTGAGGAAGCTCTGCAGGCAACCCTCACTTAAAAGCTGAGCTTCAGGTATAGAGGAGGGAAGCCGGGGTAGAGTCAGAGCAATAGTAAACCTTCTGTTTACTGAGTGATTACTGTCTGTCAGGTACTAGTTACATATACTAGTCACACCTCACAACCTTATAAGGTAAGTATTAATTATTCCCACTTTACAGATGGGTAAACTGAGGCTTAGAGGTGAAATGACTTGCCCAGATGTCGCATGACCAGTAATGGACAGAGCTGGGTTTGAATGCAGGCAGCAGACTCCAGAGGCTGCCCTCTTAACCTCTGCACTACTCTTTTCCCCATCACCACTGCCCCCCTGCCTCCCGCCCTCCCCTGCCTTCCTCTTCTGCTTCCCCTTCTGGACTGGGAGCTCTGTCAAGGCAGGAATAGTGTCTCACTTGAGCTTTATTTTCCTAGCACCTGGCACAGTGCCTGCTGTATAGTAGTGTTTCAATAAGGGTTTTGTGAGTGAGGAAATACAAGAATACCATGATTGGATGAATGACGGAATGAATGATGTATGGATGACATAGAAACCTGGACTCCTTCCTGAGAGTTCATTGCAAAGCAGTTGTCACAGCTGTTTCCCACTTTGCTGTCCACATCTAGGTCTCAT